CGACAGTGTTTGTACATTCGATTGTTCCTGGCTGTTTTTGAAACATTATGCCGTTTGTTTTGAGTGTTTCCTTGAGACCACGCTCAAATTTCAATATATCTCACAATTATTTGAGCCAGCATGTCATGTGGTTTTGTTAATGGGCTCTTGTAGAGCCCAACACCACGTGTTTCGGCCTTGACAACCTCGTCAGTCGGGCGGGCCCTTCGTCTTTGGTCAATTCTCTCGGAATGCTCCACTCCTCCACTTAGATAGGCGCCGAGGAACAAATAATATTTATCAGGGTTTTTTTTTCTAGCGTGGTCTTAAGAAAACACTCGGAAACAAACGGTGCGATTAAATATGTAGATATTACGCCAGCGGTTTTCTATGTAAGGGAGTTCTTCTCCGAAAACGATTGGCTCAGACGAAAGACACCGGTGCAGCTAACGAAGCTGTAAGGCTGAAAAACGTGCTTGGCACTGTGTAAGTGCCCATATCACACTACATGTATGGCTCAAAAATAATTATCAGGTATATTGAAATTTGAGTGTGGTCTTAAGAAAATAGTCCAACAAAACATTAGAATACAAAAATGTCGAAACCTTTCTCGCACCGTGTCATACACATATTAATTGGTACTGATATTGATATATTTATATTTATATTCCATATTTACATTCTTATACCGACAAAATATAAATTATCCTTCATTCCATGACAGGTGCTGAGGTTTTTAATGAGAAACTCGTCCAGGGAGAATAGTGACTTTCTCTCCTCTTCTTTTTGGTTGACTATGTGAACATTTGCATATGAGTTATCAAGGCTTCAAAAAAGAAAGCACCGAGACTGTTAGCTATTCGAATAACTTGCATTATGACGATCACGTGTTTGGCTTACCAGGGAAGAAATAAAATTATATATTGTTGAGGGAAGTTGTCTTCGAATATTTTTTCAATGATTAGTTTAAATGGCTATATCTCGCACTTAACGAAATGAGCAGATGCATAATCGTTTAAAAATTCTCAACAAGTTCCTCATTGATTCATTTGCCATGACAATCATATTTTTATTTCTAATTTTAGGCGACGCTACCGTTCAAATCCACCTTTAGACCGAGTGCTGCTTGCATATGTATGGTTTTCTCGCAACTTTTATCTAGGAACGCCTTCAGACTTTTATGTAGCCTTAGATAATGCGCGAACATTATCGCCTTATCGTCGAGCGCTAGATGAGTCTGTTCTTATTGTTCTATAGCCTTATTGTCAAGGCCAGATGAGTCCGTTCTTTTTGAATTTCTTGCACATTCGGGTTAGAGCTTTCACATTTGAGTTCCAGAAAATCAATTGTCTACAACGATGTTTAGTAACATAATTTTGACAAAAAGTTCGAGAGGCTCTTAGAGCTCAGTGTGCAGTTTAATCAGTCACTTTCTCGTACTTAACGACAGCACTAGCATTGCGCTATCCCACCCGGAATGATTTATTGATGCTACACTTTATTTTATCCGCATTCATCTTCGTTTTATATTCATCTATTTCTTGATTTTGAGTTAACAAGATATATTAATAGGCAATTTTTTTTTCGACCTTAGAAATCGTTCTCGATTATTTGCTGGCAGGTAGCGGTACTCAAACTCCATCCGTGATATTCCTAAAGTCGGCATCATCCGCAACTGAGCTTCTCTGTCTAATCGAATACATGTGCTTCCTCCAACTCGCTTCATTGCCTTTGTTATTGAAAACACGATCAATTAAGTCGTTTCCTTAAAAAATTTACAACTCTTTGCTCCTGCCGAGATGAACAGGATAGCACATCGTTGCTGAAAATGTATTGCATGTACTATACGCTAATACCATTAACATAATTATGGTTGAAATATGGTCAAGCCGATGCATTACGGGGACTTCTTCCCTACCATCATATCAGTTGTAAGTCGGAGCGATTGGGAGAGAATTCTTTGTTGTGGCAAAAGGAGATGAAATACTCCGGAGACCATAGGAACATCAATTTGTTTTGACAGTCAAGCGCCAAACCGTGAGCGCACAAGTACCGCTTCAGAGAACTTTCAGCATGATAATTCTGTCGCATTTCGAATTACGGGCTTAGATCGAGGCATGAATTCAATATTTTATGTTGAAATCACGTTGTCTTTGTTACGTATGTTTCAATAATCCACAAAAATTACTGCCATCTCATTTTCGTAATCAGTGTTTTTTGAACTTTTTCCTTCTATATCCAGTAAACCACCATATAAATCAACAACTACGATCAGTAATCAATTATTCTATTCAATATGTATTGAAAAACGTGTCTATTCATTGTATCGCTTTGGTACGGTGCTAGTGTTCATCCTGAGACACATCAGCACTGTCCGGTTCTCTACGAATAGCGGCTGTGCAAGAAGCGCAACATGCTTTCTTGATATAATCGTAGTCGCAGTAAAGAACTCCCATGTGCTTCAGTAGTCCACAGAATCTCGGGTGCGTATCCGAACACTCTGTAAATGATGAATCAGCGGCCACTCATAACTTGCTATCATGACTCCTTTATTTAACAATCATATTTCGCAATATTTTGCATGTACTATACGCTAATACCATTAACATAATTATGGTTAAAAATTGGTCAAGCCACTTCAACATAGCCGATGCATTACGGGGACTTCTTCCCGACCATCATATATTACCAAATCCAAAACTTCACTCATAATTTGACGCTTTTTCACTACTAAGTGAAAAATTGTGCAAGATTTTTCGTCGAATAATCGATCTCTTCAATTCAAGCTGCCATATAAACCATGAGAAGCAGTTGCGCAGCGTCCGATAATGTAGTAAATGAGATTCAAGGAAAATCATCGGCAATTTGTGATAATGGGGGAAAACGATCTTGGAGAAGATCAGGACATAAGGATGAAGCTCTCGGCATTTGTCAATCCCTGTGGAATAGGCCATGCGTTCGTCTTCATATAGCATCATTCAACATGAATGGCTGAATATCTGACTCTCACATCACTCGCAGTGGTTTATCGATGCGCAACTGCTTCTCAGTGCTGCTCAACCTCTCAGCCAAGTCTGGCACTGATTCACCGACCGCCGAGAGAAGGAAGGCTCAGTGATTCATGAACGCGAGGTCGAACAGTCGACTTTGTGTGCACACAGAAGTGGACCTAGAGGCTTCCTAGAGAGGCTGGATGGGCTCTATTAGCTCCATAAATACAAAACCCTTCACTTTCTATATGACGCGATTTCCAATTCTTCTTAGCTTGAAATAAATTGAATAGCTTGACGGGCTGCGTCGCGAAATAGCTGGGCACTGCCACAAAAACTTCGAAGAACCTAAACTCAAGGATTCCCGATATGGAAAAACTTCTACAGCAAACGACAATCCGATGAGCAACGAGCAATTGCGAAGAAGAGTTAAGTTTTTGGGATTAGCTGAGAAGCAATCTGTCCCACTAGCTGAATTTTTTTTTAAATTTCTTCTTGCAGTGATTCTAATGCTTTCATAGAAAATTTCCAAAAGGGACTCAATTTGCAAGTGAAGCACGAGTTATTACTGCGCTATTTAATTTACAATCAAATCAGCTAAATCTCAACAATTTTTTCGATTCATTAATGGAGGACTTTATTCAAATTACCTCGATCGACTGATGTTCCAGGGTTAGACGTAGGTTGAGGCTTCCATACATCCTCATCCTCGTCCTCATGCTCATCATTTGTTCCTCTCATTACGCTATTGCACACTTTGCACCCGTAAATGTTGCAAAACCTTTTGATAATCACCTCGTGAGGCGTCCTCTACTGTTCCAATTACGTCCTAAAACTGGCGCAAAGTATAAAGATACGAAACGACAAAAAAGCTAAGCTAGGAATAATCTTCGCACCATGTATTTACGGTTTAGGGTTTCCATGGTTATCTTGCCTGGCCGTGCGAACGCTGTCTTTCCATAGTGCATCACCGATGTATAATCGTATGGTATATTATACGTTGTCGACTGTGTCGACAGTATTTTGGTGAACTGTGATTGCTGACCTGAAAACTTGCGTCTAACTATCACTGGTTCATTGTAAGTTTTGTTTGATAGCTTGGACACTTATGACATGCCAAAGCCGAGCCTAGAAGCTATCTTTAGTTGTGAAGAATAACAAGGCTCTTAAATTTCGTGATGAGTATAAGTTTGACACTGACGTACCCATAAAAAACATGGTGCCTTTTAGTGCGTGCTCATCGGCCGTGCATTTGATTTCAATGCACAGTTAGATCACGCTTCAATGACCCGCAATTTGATGGGGACAACACGCCAGAATGACAGTGGTCATGAAATGGCCGACGATAGACTTCCAAGTCCCTGTGCATCCTGCGCAGACCCAATTTTGAGAACTGTTTCTTATCAAAAGATATCTTTTTGCATTGTCCATTACGCACTCCATGTAGGTGGTTCAAAGCTTCCTTTTTGTTTTTCAACAAACTGCCTCTATGTAGCTAAGTAAGCTACTGTAGAAAGAATGGCAGAACACCAACTCACCCCTTTCATTGCTCGGGCGGTGTATAAGGAAAAATTATTTAAAGCAAACACAATGCTGAGGATAAATCTCCTATTTGAATTTCCGATTCTTTCTGATTAGGAGAGGACAAATGAAAAACCGATTTCATTCGCTGGAAAGGAATTTTTTATAGGAGTGTTAGCAACCATTCGAAAGCTGAGACTTGAAGCTACATTTCAGGTCACCGGTTTTTTCAAAAAATCTCTCTACAAACGCTGTAGCATCTAAATCAAAAATTATGTCTCACACTCGCCTTTCGTCTTGACTTTTATCACTTTATTCGCTGGAAACCGAAAGGCACATAAATGTGTAGAGAAATGTTCGTAGCATCTTAGTCAATCGTTTTATCTGGAGTTTCTTTGAAAGAGGGACGAAAAAGTTCCAATGACCAACAAATTTTCAATAATGCAGAGTGGTGTGCAAAACAATTGCGTCGGCTGGGATTCGAATCCAGATCTCACTCTTTCCGGGAGCGCGTCGGTAGTGCAACGGTTCAGCACGCGCGCTCAGAAAGAGTGAGATCTGGATTCGAAACTCCAGCTGACGTAAATGTTTTTGCACACCACTCTACGTTATTGATTGTATTGTAAGATCATACCACCGCAATACGCGGTCTAATAAAATATTATCTATAGTCCCGCCTCGCCCCGCCTCGCCCCGCCTCGCCCGCCTCGCCCCGCCTGTGCCACGTCTCCTACCACAATCTTCCCCTTGTCGAATAGGCGGTAAACAACGTTGCTTAAAGTGTAAAAAGTCGGTCTCATTTTTCTTGCGAAACCGCATTTCCAGGAAATAAGCACATCGCTCAAATCAAGGAACATTACGCTAACAGTTCACTAATCACCACATACGTCTTCCTCCTTGCTACAATGCAGGGTCTAATGTGGAGCGTGATCACTGACGAGGCGGGCGAGACCTCCGAAACATCGGTGTGTGGCCCTGGTGTGGCCAACCTCGTTTAGGCTTCAAACATTCTCTTTTCTTTGAAATCACTTCAAATGTTTTATAGCGAGATTTTGAAAAAGTCGATGCCATGGATCAATTTTGTTCTACCAGCCAAGATCGATCGACTGAGTGGGTGGTGATGGACCATTGTCATTGTACACTGTGCCGTCACTTCATACGCCTCCCATCTTACTACAAAGCAGGAATAATGTGGGGCGGTGGGTCACCACGAGGAAGGCGAGACCTCCGAAACACCGGTGTATGGTCCCTGGCTTGCCAATTTTGCTTAGCTTTAAACATTATTTTTTTTTTGAGATTACTAATAGTCTGAAGAAAGAGCTCTGCCCGGCGAGTTAAGGAGCACAAATCAAAAGACCAGAGGAGTTCAAACACCAAGAGGTTTTTCAAAAAGCAAACATATTTTCGAGTTCTTTGAAGCTTGTGCTATACTTTGGGAACTAGCATTTCGAGGAAGGAGTTTTGTCCAGCGAAATACAAGCCATACTAGAGAAAAGATAATGCAGTTTTATGAAAGATGATTTTATTTTGAATGTCATAGCGATATAAAGGGGTGTTATGAAAAGTTGGAGATATAGGGTTTTAGCCTTAGGTCTTAGTTTTTGAATGCTTACTAATGCTCCTATGAAAAATTGCTGTTCAGCGAATGAGGTCGGTTTTTCATTTGTCCTCTCCCAATCGGAAAGAACCGCATTTCTAACTCCGAAAAAATTTTCAGTTCATTAAACATTTTAGCAACTGAACCGTTTCTCCTTTTAAAGAGTCAACGAAAGCTTCCAATCATGAAAACAGATTTGTGCGTTGTTGACACAGTTCACCAAAGTAGGATAAAGGTGACCCGGAAACCATTATCCTGGGACGAAATGGATCACTGAGAACAAATTATATGGCAACCTTTTTGACTAAATATTTAAATTGCTTAGAAACATTTTGCTACAGAGGAATAAATGTTAATCTGTAAACTAATGCTATAATGAACCTGGCAAAATGTTTTCGTAATGAATTTTGACGTATTTGTCTCTGTCGTATCTCATCTGTTCGTGCCATAGTCCAATCACGTTGCAACAGCTCGTGTTGAACGGTTGAAGTTATTAGACATCTAAATAACCCAAATCTCTTTGCAGAATACCAAATTTAAAATTTAGAATAGGTAGCTAAATTTCAAAAACACAGATAACTGAACACGGTAATGTTTGTCGTATGCTCGTTTTTTTTCATAATTTTTATAATCTATGGAAATCAGTTCACACAGTGGTTGAACTACTTCATTTGTTGTTTGAAACAGTGGTTAGCAGTAAAAAAAGAAAAGCGCATAGCTCGCCGTTGAAAAACACCAATTTTTTGAGATTCTAAAGGAGCACTCTTCATAGAGGTGGGTAGTGCGCTGATCAATAACACGCTGTATCAGGAAGCAAGGTAGTAAGCACGGTGCTAGTGTAATCTCCATCACCAGGATCCTTTTGCAATCAGTCAACGAAAGACGAAATGCCTTAGCGCGGATATTCCAAGATCTCAAGAAGAATCGTCACCAGTAACATTCTGCGCTATTCACAAAATAAACGAGTTTCCCATGCTGATGCCGAAAACAGCGCGTGCGCTATTCGAAGATCTCTATGTAGAGTGAATGCGAAAAAAAAACGACGAATGGGAGAAGTACGAAGGTCCATGCAGTAAATAGTGATAACAGGTCGTTTGAAATGGAATGGTTAACAAAAGTAGCAATTCTTAACCTTAATGAGACTGCTGCACACCAGTCGAGTATTTTAAAGTTCATCCACTTTTCAAGGCCGATTAACAAGACGAATTCCCACTACCACCTTCCCAATTATTTGTTCAGTTTACTTATACCACATGGCCCCCCAACCACATTCATTATGTTGATTCCAGCACTTCTTCCATTCAAATTGTACTCTCACAATCATCGTCCCGAAGGTCTTCGAACCTTCACGCGTCGTATCGACTGCTAGTATGATTTTGTCTTTGTGGATACCCTAGAGGCGCTATGACCAGGTAGTTGTGATGCTAATCGCGGTGCACGTGAGGCCAAGCTCTGCCTCCCGTGCTCTCCGCCGGCAGGCAACAGCGAACGCCTTTTGGAACCCACACGCCACAGCCAGGGGCTATCCTGGAGATTGCAAGGAGGCTCGCTCAACTGGTATTCTACGACGTTCAGGGAGAAGACTTATAACGATAGAATACTACAAGTGCTGGGATCCACAAAGTGAGAAAAAGCATGTAAAGATGGATCAATAAAGTGTCAAAGAATGCCTTAGAATGCTGCTGTTCAAGTGAAGTCGCCTTCTATTTTTCAAAATAGCGGAGTCAAGTCGTTTCTAAGTAATTGCAGGAGAGCCGTGGTGAAAAGGAGCAGAACCAGAACCTTGCCGACTTTCTGTTAGCCCCGATATTGATCAGTAAATGAATGCCTTCTCATCCAACTAACTTGAGATTTTTTATAAAGTCTGTTATGCAGTAGCTAACGTTTCAGCGACTCAGTTTTTCCAGAGCCGTTTTGTCTTTCAAAAGTGTTTCAGTTGTTCATGGAGACTAGATGGACTTAATATTATATGCGTGAGTAGTGTGTCTGACTCAGGTTGAAAATCAGCCTAAGAAAATAGAGTGTTGATTCTTGGTCTGAGCGATGAATCGTTAAAAGAAGTAGGTTGAATGCAGAGATAAACAAGGATTACCAATCTGGTTCCATCAGCTCTTGGCATATTCTAATCTCAGTGTACTGAAACCCATATAACTGCTACGTATATATTAATTGGAAAGAACTAACGTGCTGACGTCGTTTGATTCAAGCATCAGTGTACTTCTTCCTTTTTGACGACCCACGTAGGTATAACACCTGAAAATAAACCGCTGGGAAATCTTATCTTGAGTAAACCATAGGATCAGTAATGTTTTCCACCTAATTTACTCTATGCTTTTTCATTGCACAGACTTTTTTCACTCGTAATGAAATAATTTGAACCGCTGAATGTTACACCTTGCTGCAAATTAGCAAGATTTTTTCAGTTCCGTAATATTAGGTCTTTTCATAAATTTTGCCACTTAAGCAGTGAGCACCAAATTTTTATTAACTAGAAGTAATCGAAATTGCTTAGCGACACTATTCGAATCATGAGCCATCAACATGAACAGATTGCTGCCACCTCTCAGGCAACAAACCAATACCGCTTCCCTAGAACTCGTTGTCCTTGAATTTGAAGGTAAGTTGTCAATCCTCGACGCAAATTATTGATGTCTAGGAGCCCTTCCTGCTCAGGAAGTGCTCCAACGACCGGGAGAGGTGAGAGTAAGACGGCGACAAGTCACTACTGTAGAGCGAAGGATTCACATCTCCCAACCCAGATCGGTCAACTTCCTCCTTGTCAATCTGCCGACTTGTGGCCTTGCATTGTCTCAAAGCAAGATGAGATTGTGGCGACATCGATATGACAGGCCCCATTGCAGCGGATTAGGTACGGACAGTAGAGCTGAGCGTTATTCGTCTCTCCGGCTGGCAGCAAGTAGCAGTGATTCCGCTTAGTCCGGTCCCAAAAGATGATGAGTGTCAACTTCGCGTGGCGTTTGGAGCACAATTTTTATTTCAAAACGGTGTTTCCTGCGCGGAACTCAACAAAAAAACCGGAACGTCCTTCTCCTTAACACAAATCTTTGAACCATTGCACGGTTGAAATTTTAAAAAACGGTCTGTGCATCGCGTCCATATTCGTACTCGCAAGCAGCAAAGTGCGATGCAGGCTTAGTTGAGCGGCCGTGATGTGACAAGTATGGACAAATTTCACACCAGAATAAAGCTCAGAAAATTCTACACGAAGCGATATTGATTTCCTACCTGAATGATGGCAGAAATGTTCAGGTTTATCGTTCATACTATGAATAGTATTGTTTAGCAATTTTTACTACTTATGGTTAACAAAAAATTTGGTGTTTACTGCTCTAGTCCCAAGTCCCACGAGTGGACCAAAAACATTGGCCTTCATTATTAATTCAAATAACAATTGGCTTCATTCTGATCTGATTTGTATGTTTTTCTCTTGATATTTCAGTCGAAGAGCTTGATGCTTGGTGAAGAGAATTTTCACAAGAAATTATCAATTTAATACCGCATCAGATCGTGTTTTTATTGTTTTGATAAAAATATTATTTATGTAATGTTCTATTATCTTGGATCCTTGTTATGATCATTTTTATTGAAAAGATTTCTCAACTGACGACACTAGGAAACTACAATTTTAGGCCAACCTCGAACATGCCCTCCGCGTTAGACGGAAACCGTAATTGTCTGCTAGTTTGTAATTTCATTCATTGTTATTTCTTTTCTCAGAGCAGTGGACCAGACATTTTTCTTCTACATAACAGACTCATTTCGGTGTAAATAGATAACGCTCTCCAATGACGCACTTCTCCAAGACGATGTTGAAATACTAATTATTGTTCGATTGCATGCAGCTTCTCTCAAGCAGTGATCAACGCTTCTCCTTCTCTATGTACTAGTGTTTCACTCAATGAAATTTTCTTACTCAAAATGTCCACAAAATGACGCTTGAGATTTTGTCATTCTCTTAAGAGCTGA